AGCAAAAGCTGACTTCTGGCTTGGCGAGTGTTGTAGAAGGTAAGCGAATAGGATCAACCACGGTTTTGGGGCGAGATTATTGCTGACTTCTGGCTCGGCGAGTGTCGTAGGAGGTAAGCGAATAGGGCCAACCACGGTTCTGGGGTAGGGCAGAAGCTGACTTCTGGCTCGGCGAGTGTTGTAGAAGGTAAGTGAACAAGATCAGCCATTTTTCTGGGCTAGGGCAATTGCTGACCTCTGATTCGCTGAGTATTGCAGTGTGTAAGTGGATAGGATCAACCACGGTTCTGGGGCGAGGATTGCTGACCACTGGCTCGCCGAGCATTTTAGAAAGTAAGTAAATGACATCAACCACTTTTCTAGGACGAGGCAATTGCTAACATCTAACTCGCTGAGTGTTGTAGGCAGTAAGCGAACAGGATCTCCCACTATTCTAGGACAAGAGAGTCGCTGATACCCGGCTTCTTGCTTTCTCTAGACGGTGAGCGCGCCTGCACTGTTTCACTCGTTTGCTGCTTCTACTTTACTAATACATCCCTTCTGCCGTTACAGATTGTATGTAATCGACACCTCTTAAAGCCCTCTTTGATGGCCGCGATTCCAGCTAACTCCATCTCGGTTTTCCCAACAGGCGGTAAGCATATCGAATCCCCTTATCGTACCTCTTTATGTTGCTAACAAATTTCTGCTCGCCCCTCTTAGTTTGTATGCAAACCTCTATCTTCCCTCCCGCTTGTCATAACTGATACTTATTCCATATCGCGTTGCAGCTCGTTCGTGAATCTCTTAACCTTCCTTCCCACTTGTCCCACTAACACAACACGCCTCACAACAATCTGGGCAATTTAGAAAGTGAGTAATATGATTCGATTACCGCTAACCTAATAACCCTGTCAGCGCAGGATATCTGCTAACCTTTCTGTAGCCTGTGAGCCGTTCCGACCCACCGTCCTCCCCCTCGTTGCAGGTTGTCATTGACCCGGTAGTAGTTTTGCAACCCAGGCACACCAGACCAGATCCGTAACCCTCGCCCAGCCTGGGAAACAACATCCTCGACTGAAGGGCTAGTCTAACGACTGGTGAGTTATATCCTGTCCTTCTTTAACGAATACTTCGGCGTCTTACCAGCGGCATAATAGATTAAACAAACACCTGCAGTGGGTTATTTTTTGGAGACCTGTTGTTCATTCAATGCGTTTACCGGCCCGAAGCCATGCCGGGTTTTTATTTTATTTTTTACGTACCCTATGCCGGTCTTTGTCGGGATTTATTTCGGTGAGGGGTTTTCCCTCTGTATTAGGGTGTCGGAATTTACGATGGTGGGCTGCAGGTGGCTTGTGGTGTTTCTGTTATCCTTGTACTGGCATCTCCGAAATTTGGTCGGTTCGCAACAATACAAGTATAGCCTTCAACAGCCATATGTAACACCGTGACCGAAACCTAACCCATACGATACGGCATACGGTTTCGTAGAATGCTGTCACCAATCAGGTAACTTAATAAACTAAGTGTATGGTAGCACTACCATACATGGTGTGGAAAGTAAACCAACCACTCAGTTCTAGATCATCCTATAAAGTGACTTGAAATGATTTATTTACCCTAGCCGCGCTGACTCGGCATTCAGTAGTATGGGGTCCTGGCTGAGATGGGGGTTATGGAGAGAGGCGGTAGGATATGAAGGCTCGGAGGCGTAGTAAAGGAGGGGAAGGAATGGGAATGAAAGGTAGAGTCGGAAACTCAGCAAAGAGCTCCGCAAACCCGGGCATGAATTGACACGCGCCGACAGACGGTGGGCGAATGATGGAAAGCGGTCGTTTGCTCGAGACAATACCTGTTCCCCAGGATCGTCGGGAATGTCCACACGTAGCAGGGCCATCCCTTGCCTCTTCCGGATGGAAAGATGGCAAGTCAAAAAAAAAAAAGATTTATATCCCACAGTGCATACTATACGGCAGAGGTTCCCCCAGACGGCGCTCATGGCGAGGCGCGAGCGGGGTTCGTTGCCCGTCGGCGATCACAACTATTATGATAGGTTCTTCCCCGGCGACCGTCGCCCCGTTTGATTCCGCAATTACGCTTCATCGACGGCCACTTCTCGAACGTCGCCGGTTGCGGTTGGACGGCTCGATAAGTCGGTGGGATTGTGCCGGGATATGTGGAGATAAGAGCTAGGGAGAGGACCCCGTTCCTATTCATGTTTGGTAATTCTATAGTCTACCTGCCGACAAGACTTGTGTGTTGTTTCCCATCCCGTATAGTTTCATCCCCCATATCTCCTCTTTCCGCTCCGACGGTGCCCTCCCTCCCGGTTTCTATACTCCATCACGAGATGTCCACCGTAACAGTACATTACGTCCCCGAGGGCATTTGCGGAGCCCCCACCCACATGGCCGGATGTCTACAGCGTCCGCAACCGACACCCGGTGGATACGTTGAGAACCTTTTTCGCATATCTCAGGGTAACGAGAAGTCTTTCTGAGCGGCGGCGAAAGGGAATAGCGAGTGATACTTGATGTCCCAGGGCTGCACAGAGAAGGTATGATATATGAATGATGGATAGCTGTTTTCTTTCAAAGACAAAACACTTGCGATTCCTACTATATGTTCTACTGTGCTACGGTGTGCCACATAAACTCTAGGAATTTCGTTCCCCACGAGGTGGCCGGGCCGAGGACGACGATGGAAAGAAGCTGTCTATGGAGGGGTGAGCACTCTGGACATAAAATTTGGCAGCGCTTACCCGCCCAGCGAACGAGCGCCGGGGAGCAGCGGGTGTTTATAAGGAAGTGCTAGACGTCTATCCTCCACCCCCCCCTCTCTCCCTTATGTCCTACTTTCGCCTGCACCACCACGAGCTCACTCACTGTACACTCCACAAGTCTCCCCAGGCCCCCCTCTTGTGACGGGCACCACACAACCCTCACATGCGGAGCTCCTTCTCTAGTCAGTCTCCTGCTCCAGAGATTCGCGATACTCGACACAGCCAAATCAGTCAAGTAAAGTGCGGTTGAATGGGGGCGAAATCAGGGCGTAAGGGGGAACCCTCTCTGGGGATGAGAGAATCCAGGTAGATTAGTACTCTGCCTTCTCGTTACCAGTATCGCTAGTTGACCTTTTTACGCGCACTGGAAGCTCCCGGGTCGGAAGATGATATCCCGATCTCTATTTTGTCGTCCCTCTTCAACTGCGGGCAAACAAGCATCCTTATATACATGAATCTCAAAAATCTTGCGTTCCCCCCCCACTCCCCTAATCATTGCTTTCTCTTCGATTTATAACGCTGACCGTGCTCCTTCCCCCTTCATCTCATCTCAAGGTTCTTCGCGTTTGTTCCATTCTCTTCTCTTTTCTTCACCGTATCTTCTTCTATTCTCTTAGTCTTTTCTTTACCGTGCCACCGCTTCTCTTCTCCATGCTACCGTTACCCTCCCCAACTTGCAAGTTATTCCTTTATACCCTCTATGTGAAAGTCAATTAAGCCCGTATATCTGCCGCTGGTTCTCGATACCCCTTGGCTACTCCAGAGCGCCGGTGATTCACAATACCTTCACTCCCACCCCTTTGTGCTGCTTTCTTACAATAAGAGAAGTTTAAAGAGAAGTTTGAGATAACAGACCCTTTTGTTCTATGTGGTTATTCGTTTAACCCCGGTTCGGTTCGAGTACGATACCCGAATATATTAAGAGTAGCACGCTAGGACACCAAATCAGACTCGGATGTGATGATATCCCGACTCGCTATAAATAAATTTAGCCATCAGAAGTCTAAAAATCAATGTCAGCCACGACACTTAACCGGATAATGCCACACAATAAACAAACAAAATGGACGAAAAATAATATCGAAATCCACATTCAATGACAACCCGTCACCCGTATATACGGAGGAGAGTAAATCCAGACAAGAACCCGGAATTCAACAGAGCCAAAACATCCTCATTCACCATATACTACCCTCCTCTCCACTATTTTCACAAGTCCCGAAACAGCCCTACGGGCACGAAACCAAAGCGTGCAATCGCAGAATCTTCCAGCGTAAAATCATTATCACAACTGCTCACCACGGAGGCAGAAAGGGAGAGGAAGTGATAGAGTCCCACCCAGAAACCTCACATCGCCATCCGAATCGGGACGTTAGTCGAAGAGTACGGGTACGGTACTTATAGCCACTACCCACCGGACCACGACTATCGGTACTATAGCACCACCATACTTCCTTACGAACCACAGGAGTTATGGTAATCCTCAGCTCTGCATGATGTCATACCCGCGGGGGCTTGTCGTTTATATAGATATCGACGCTCGTCCTGCGAAAGGAGCTCTGAAAAAAACTTGGCCGAATACGATACTGTGCTCTTTATTACTACGGCCTCTGACAAGATGGACAATATAAATAACCCCCCCCCCCAAAAAAAAAAAAAAAAAAAATTCCTAGCATAAATCGCACCCAACTCCCACTCTGAGCTTGGCGACAATGAATGCGCCAAAACTGGCTAGTAAGCTGCGCCGATCGCTCACGGGGAGTTGCGTGAAACCTACCCCCCCCCCCCCCGGAGGGGGGGAGGGGGGGAGGGAAAAAGGGAACCCTGGTCCGGGCCCAATTCCGGAAAAAAAAACCCCAATTTTTCCAAATTTTTTTTAAAAAAAAATTTTTTGGAATTATTTGCCAACCCCCCCCCCTCCCCGGGAAAATTTGAAACCCCCCCGGGGCTGGGGGGTTTGGGCCTCTCTTCGGGGGAAAAAATTTTTACCCGGGGAATTTCCCCCCGGGTTTTCCCTGGTTTCCTTCCCCCCCCCCCCCCCCCCCCGGGGGTCAAACCCACATTTTACTTCACCCCCCCCCCCCCCCCCTTTTCCTTTACCCCCCCCCCCGAGGTGTCAACACACAATTATACGTACTCACTCGCATCCCCGCGTTTCACTATAGCCATCCGCTCCTACTGGATACCTGCGTAAAGTATTCCCCCGATTTGCAATCACAATTCATGCATTATACGATAAACCTGTACGGCATTACTTCCATTCATTACACATATATATACACCCCCTCCTCTCCCTCCCACATAGCCAGCCAGATAGCCGAGTGGCGATTCCGATGTACATAGTTACATAAATAAATACTCGCTCACTTGCACCCCCCACATTTTCTCCAACCTCAGACTCAATCAGAGGGAGGATAAACAAAAGGAGAAAGACCCCCCCCTTCGGAAGAAAGGGAAGAAAAAGAAAAAGAAAAGAGACAGACCACAACGCCCCCAGGTTATATAGCGAGATAGAGATATAAAAGGAGAATATTGGAGAGAGGGAATGGAAGGAAATAGAAGCGTGAAAAAATAAAGAATAAGGATGCAAAACGCATCGTTAGGACGTTAGTTTGATGACTCAAAGAAATGGGAAAGCAAAGGTTGTACGCGTCTATACCACCAACCAACCAACCGCCAGACAAACAAGCAAGCAGACAACCAGCTCCGCTATGAAAAACAGATAAGAAAAATCTTTACCAACAAAGCCAAGGCCAGAGAGAGGAAACCCCCCCGAAATCAGAAATCAGAAAACACCCCGTCATAAGGCGTCAAAACCATTCAATTAGAGATTACTCTTCCCCCCACCACAACTCCACAAAACTCCACAATCAACCTCTCCAAATCGACAATCTTGTAGGGCTTCGACATGAACCCCTTCATGCCGACGCTCGAAGTCTTGACCATAGCTGCCTGCGTCGCATCAGCCGACACGCCCAACACCGTAACCCCCACCCCCCCATTCCCTCCCTTTGCTCCTCTCCTTCGTGACTCCAAGATCCGTTTTGTGGCCTCGTACCCATCCATCCGTGGCATCCACAAGTCCATAAGTACAACATCTATCGGAGGATGCCGCGGACTCGACATAATCTCTACGGCCTCCTGCCCGTCGCAGGCTTCCGAGATGTCGGTGTATCCGAGCTTCCGAAGCATGCTCGTTAGCAGTTTTCGGTTAATCTTGTTGTCCTCGGCGACGAGGATCGAGAGAGGTATTTTCGTTGCGAGGGTTTTGTCGTAGGGTAGTTTGAGGGGAGGGCGGCGGCGGTGGCCTGTTGTAGTTGTTTCGGTTGGTGTTGTGGTTGGTGTTGCGGTTGGTGTTGCGGTTGGTGTTGCGGTTGTTGCTGCAATTGCTGTTGCAGTTGTCGCGGTCACCGCCGTCGGGGGGGGTACTGAGTCGATTGGTTGTGGGTCTGATGGGGGCTGCGGGGTCAAGGACAATGGAATGGGGAACTTAGAGGCCGGGGGTAGTAATGGCTGGGGTGGTGCTGGAGGTGGTGAAGGGAAGCGTTCCTCACGCAACGGGGAGGGGTCAGTGAACGGGCTTCGGCGAGAGGTGTCTAATGACCAGCTTGGCAACGGGTTGGGTAGCAAGGATAATGGTGGGGTTAATGCTGGAGTATTCGGGTTCACCACCGGTGTTCCTGGCGTGCTTGAGCCGTCTGCAGGGGTTAACGGCAGTCTGACATGGAATTCTGAGCCCTTGTCAGGCCCGTCTATTGACGTTCGCTCGCACCACAGGTCTCCGCCCATCTTACGGGCGATACCCTTCGCTACCAATAACCCTAATCCTAGGCCATCCCGCTGCCTTGTCATTGAAGCGTCTTCCCGAGAAAACGCTTTAAACAGGCGTGGTAAGAATTCCTCTGGAATACCTTCTCCAGTATCTGTAATGGAAAATAACACCTGGGGAGAAACGGGGTTCAGAACCTCCACGGCGACAGAAATGCTTCCATTCCCGGTAAACTTCACAGCATTGTGGAACACACTCGACAGTAGTTTCGTCAGGGCATTCCCGTCAACTACAATCACCAATCAGCAACATCTCCAACAAACCAGCCTGTGGGAACACACCAACAAGCGTTTCCGGAACACTCTCATCCACCCTCAACTCAATCTCAACAGTACTATTCATCTCCCCAGGGCCTATGGTCGAAACAATAATCCTCTCCCCCTCCGGCGTCTCCGAAGACCGTGTGGAATCAGGTCGCCCACCAGACCTCAGCGTGTCGTGGAGAATCTGACGCAGCAACTCCCGAATCTTTAAGGGGCGAGAATTTAGCTGTATTTTCCCGGCCGCGTCAAAGAACAGGCAAGCACCAGACGGCGATGGGGAAGCAGCTGACAGCAAGCTGTGGCCCGAGCTGCCCCGCCGTTGTATGTCATCGGGCATCAGCAGGGGTGCAGGGGACCCAGTGTAGCTGGGTGGTGAGAGACTCCTCGACCGCGATAATAATAATGGCGGGCCAAGTATCTCGTCGCCATCCCCATCGTGGTCTAGGCCCTGGCTGCGGTGCCGCACCTTGTGCGGCATCATGTCCTCCGGTGACCAAGATTCTCGCCGCCGTTTGCTCGACTGTCGTGGCATCACTCTTGGCGTTGACAGGTCAAAGTCGTTGTCCTGCATTGGCGTCAAGGTGGAATCCGACTCGTCGGGTAAATCTAGAAGCACCTGGCTAGCCATCTTTGGTGTCGAGGGAACCTCCATGTCGAGATCGTAAGCGTGAACCATGTTATCGGCGGCGTCAACAGCCCGTTTTGAACTGTCTAGACACGGAAATCAACATTGTCCACGCAAACCCCATCAACGAAATGAACAACCAAAGCAAAAAAGTACCTTGAGCAACCTCTATGCTCTCCCTAAGAGACTCTACCATGTTCCGGATCTGCCCCATATCGCCTGCCTCCCATTCCGTAGCCTCTAACACCGAAGCATACATAACATCCAACATCCCAACAACGCCCTGCATAGGTGTCCGCAATTCGTGCGATAAGCTTCGTGCATAGGGCTTTAATGACTGCCGTGAAGTAACGGCCTCATTAGGAATAACCTCGTTCTCCATCTTAGGTCCAAACCCTTCTCCTTCCAGTATCCGGGCAGTAACCTGGTCCTCCAAAGTATGTAAAAACATCTCCAACATGGCCCAACTAATGGGTGGCCTCTCCTTCAAGCCCTCTTCTGTCCACATAACCCCCATATGAGCAAAGCATTTCCCCTTATGAAACAATGGCACGGCAAGATAGCCCTCGGGAAGAATTGGAAATGCTTCAGCATTCGGATTATCCGGCGTAAGCGCTTTCAGCCCTTCAGGAATCAATAACACCTTGTCATGCTTCATCCACTGACAAGGACATCCGTAAACTTTGTACTTGAAATCCCGATATGTCCCCGAAGATCCCTTGTGATCGGTAAAATAGAAAGCCAACCCCATAAGACACGAACCCCTCTCGCCGAATTCGGGCATCTCCACAGCCGTGTACTCGTCGTCCTCCAGCACCCTCTTCGCCACGAACGCATACTGAGCTCCCATAATTTCGGTCATGCCCTCCATCAATATCTGCCAGAAGTCGAAAGTGGTAGCACTCCGGAGCTTCTGCTTGAGATTGAAAGTCCCCTCCAATCCCTTGCTGTCAGCCTCGACGAAGGCCGACTTTAGAGTGGCTCGAAAGCGTGGGTCCCCGAGTTGTATGACGCCCTCCATTTCTGTAGTCCCGATACAAAAAGATGAACGATCGAAAGGATCACTCATGTCGATGGCCTCATAGGATTTAAGGCTCTTTTCAGACTCCATGGCAGTCATCCAGTGTGGGTGTGACAATCAGTCACCGCCAATATCCGAATAATATAACTTCTTGGCCCCGAGGGGGGGGAATACGAATGTTAATGACAACGGTTGGTCGTGACAAACCAGGTTGTATGCACGCAAGATGGTTAAGTTATGGATAATAGCTGATGTACAGTGACTGGAGAGAGAGCGTTGCCTAGTCCAAATGTGACAGATCAAGTAGGGGGGTATAAGTTAAGGGAAGGGATTAATCCACAAGGTATAAATTTTAAAAACAGACAAATACGTGGAGGGTGAATATTCTCCTTCTTTTTTGTCTTCCCTTCCACTCTGCGTGTATATGTCTATATTAAACGTCGACTCGGGAAACGATGCACGTTCAATGACGAAAAACGATTGACGGAAGGTAAGGCGGTCAACACTCGACTGTTAACTACACTCTTCTTCCTCTTATTTTTTCTTCTTCTTTCTCCTCCGTCCTTTGAAGACCTAGAAGTTCGACAACGATCAGAACGAAGCTCAGAAAAAAGGGTAAAAAAAAAGGAAACAAGCCAAGGAAGAAGAGGGGGTAGTAGGCAGCTGGGTAGGCAAATCGACGGAGAGAGAAAAAGAAAAAACAGAAGAAGAAAAAAAATAGAACAGTCAGACGAAAACCTGGACTCGAACAATTCGGAGAAAAAATAGCCCAAATCTACAAAGAACGCTGGGGCATGAGAAACAAACATACAATGAAAACCAAAGGACAAGTCCTCGCTCGAAAGGGAGCTTCCTCAAGGGGACCAACCAGAATAGCAGAGGGTACCTGCCCTTCCGGACCAACAGCAAATGCGTAGTATTAACGGGGGCCTCGAAACAACTCCTCCTCGCCCCGAGCGGTCACTGGAGATGTTGAGGTCGTCCGCTGTTGCTGCTGTTTCTGCTCTAGATGGAGCAGAGCTACAGGCACCGGTATGGTGTTGATGGCGGCGAGCGAGGCTCACGAAGAAGCCGCAGCAACTAGTAGTAGAAAATATCAAGCGAAATACGAAAGCCGCAAGTGTGATTAATCGATAGACGAGCTGTCTGGTCAAGCACGGATGCATGACATCTCTTCTCTCTCTTCTGGTGCTCTAAGTTAACCCGAGAGCTGAAAATTTCCCTTTTTTTCTTGTCCCTTTTCCCTTCCTTTTTTTCCCCTTTCCCCCGTTGAAAAGAGAGAAAAAATCCACCCCCTATTCTTCTTCCTTCACTATCAACGGTACGTATAAGATTTGTCTCTTCCCTCTATACTTTCCAGCACAGTCTGTAGCACTGCAGTGGACCCTGATCGACGTCCGCTTCTCTTCGTCGCTTTTAGGTAATTTCTCTTCTTGTGCCCGATATCTTTTTTTCTTCTTCGCCCGCAAAACAAAGGCTCCCAATTCAATATTGCCCTGAGACTTGAACCCTTCTTTCCTTCCCACCCTTCTCTTGTGCCTTTCTTTTCCACTTCCCTTTCCCTCCCTGACTTTCCCTTTCAACCTCCTAGCACCGCAGCCCTCAAAGTTAGTTATTGTATGTAATACCGGTAACTTCCCTCCTTCTCTTTTCCTCCAGCACCCTCCTTCCTTCCTTCCCTTTTATAGATTCCCGGGGTTCCTGTGTCTTTTTCCTCCTTCCCTCCTCCCTTCCTTTCGCCGATCTACCGTAGGGCCCTAAACCGCCTTGAAAGCAACGAGGTAAAAGGATGGCCAATTCCGTGGATGCCGTAGGACGGCTGTTTTGACGCGGGGTGGGTATGATTCTGGATTGGAGTGAGATGTGAACGACGACTACAGCGGAGGGACGCAAAGCAAACGGTAGGGGGTGGTGTGTAGGGATGGAGAAGGGGAGCTGTTCAACCAGGCACAATTCAATAATTCCTACAAAGTAGAAACGTCAGGGGGTAGGGGGGTAAGTCAGGATGCCGGTAGTAGGGGTGTTGCGACGATGATTGAGTGGTCCGACAAAGATCAGTAGGTGGGTGAGTGCGCTGGGTGTGGGCGTCTGTCTAGACCTATTCAGTACTACGGTACCTTACCACCCAAAGGTATGACACAGTAGTGCTCGAGTACCGTATCGTAGTTTACCGGTACCGGTATGAGCACTGTGGAAGGGAAGGGGAAGAAGGGAGGAGGAAAAAGAAAAAAAAATTAAAAAAAAAGAAAGCGTTGAAGCTTCGCCCAATTGTGCTGCCGTCAACCGAGAATTACCGATATTGCTCGGATGCCTTTTTTTTTTCCCCTTTGAATCTCTCTGGTTGGATGGACAAACGATAAGTCAGCGCAGATTGAAGGAAAATCATATGAAGGAGCCAGCCAACTCAAACGGTGTATGACATATAAATTTAGGAAGGAGAAGGGAAAAGTGAAGACTGCTTGCTTGCTTGCTTGCTTGCTCGAAGCTTCCACTCGCTCGCGGGCGGTAGGGTATGATAGGCAGGAAAAGGCTGGGACTTCCCTGGAGTTGGCCACGGGTGCCCCTCTATGCTTGCCTCGGTCGGATTGATCCCCTGAGGGGCGCGACCCACGCCGCTGCTGGACTGACTATTCAAGCAGTGGCGCCTACCGGTAAAGCAACCAGCGACAGAGGAAGCAAAAAGCCTTCCTTCTTCTCTTCCCCTCCTGTGTGGATCTCCCTGGCTTCTCGCTTGCTCTGGCGACCCCGTGCACCTTCAGCACTTGCGAGAAACCGTACTGAATTACCGTATATGGTACGGTGATACCGGTATTGGTTAAATTGAACTTTTGTCGAACCGAATCACCCCAGCCCGAGCTGGACCTCGAGAAGCATTCTGGGCATGCAAGATGGCGACCTGCTTCGCTCGCTCTACTCTAGCGCCGGTACCGGTACGGTAATGGCCCAGTGCTTGTATTATCCCTGCTCGCAAATCCAGAACCGGTATGCGGACACCTTAATGCCAAAGCCCACAAAAGCACAGATGCTTGGCGCCAAGGTGTCCACCGGATACTTGTGAAACTGGCAAGTTCTCTTGCGGTCTGGGAGTTGGGAAATGCCTTTTGGAAAAATCACTCTACAGAGTACAGTACGAGCACAGTGCCGGTACCCTTAGTCTGCTCCCGGATCTCACACACTTTACGGAGCACAAAAGACGGAGACTTTATCATATTACGAAAATTTAAAACGATAGGTAGGAAAGGCCACTGTGATCTGGCCAACCGTTTGGGGGTGGGTCTGTCGTGAAGTTAGGCCATTTCTACTACAGTACAAGTACCGGGGGTAGAAGAACAGATATCTATCGCTACGGTACGGAATCTTCATTCGTGACGGCAGACGGTAATTTCCATAGGACCCGTCACGGCATTCGAGTACAGCAGGTTACGGTAATTGGTGGGAATTGTGATACTAAAAACTTGTCCACTCTTCCCTATGTCCTTGGATATGATTGATAGTCTACGGTAGCGGTCTCGTACAGTACTCGTACCTCACCTGTTGGAACCTCCCCTCTTGTGACCGCTTTTCACCCAGCTGCCTCCCCCGTTGGAGCATGCTACAATAAGCGTATACTACTCGTAGTAGAACTGACATAACTTATTGCACCCGTCCATCACCCAACCGAGCAGTTCAAGTACCGCACCGGTTTTGGTATGATAGGCAACCGCATATCATACAATTGCAATGCGCAGGAAGGAAAAGTGGACGCCTGTCCCGTCTCATATCACCCGGCGAGCAGCCTATCCAGGACCAACCCTCGACCGCCGCCCCGCGCCCCGGCACATTTTCTTTCCTCCCTTTTTCTTTTTCCCCCTTGACGATTGCTCTCACGCACGGCACCGTAACCTACCGGTACTGTACGAGTGCGATACTGACTAACTTTGCCACAAACAAATGTACGAGCACGGCAAGATGCTCGTAAAATCCATGAGTCGTGGCTCCGCGAAACAACGGACCCACCCTTGCCTGTCGGTTCCCCGTGGTCTGGACCGTTCTGCAGGCCATCCGCGTCCATCCATCCACTTTTTCGAGTTTTAATTACTGTTTTCCCCTTTCCTCCCCATTCCTTGTTATGATATATTTTCCTCTTCCACCGCCTTATGCGACGATAGAAGGTTGGTGGATTTATTATTTAAGGCCTTTATCCGTCCGGCGGTTGGGGAAGAAGCCATGATGATTGAAATCCTAGGATGGGTTAACCTATGGGGAAACTTATTCATAAAGGGAGTGAGAGTGAGAGAGAGGAGAAGAGAAAAAGGTAGCGGTACTTTAATGAGGGGTTTACCTTTTCCTTCTTGAATCTGCCCACCCTTACATCCATCCCTACGCTCTCATTTCTGCGATTGTATGATTCTCGACTACGATAATGGGGAGGCCTACGGTACTCCACCACCCCACACCACCACCACCACCACCACCACCGTTACCCCTCCCCCCACTCCAGCCTGACCAGCAACGATCCAGCGACTAGCTTACACCGGTAGGCCATACGAGTAGTACGGTACCATACTACTAGTACCGGTACCGGTACTGCACTCGACAGCGAAATCCTTAATCCATCCATCCATTCATTCATTCATCCATCCACTCATCATCGCCCCCATGCGGTACCCTTTCTGCCCCGCAGGTCCCGATAGCGGTAGAAAGTTAGCACGACAAAAAATCTCATCATTCCCTTCCCCTTCCCCCATTTCTGCCTTCCATCCCCGTATCCAAGTCATAATCTACTCTAGACTACTCGTACAGTACTCGAGTACATTACTCGTACATGTAACCCCTTTTACAATACCAACCAAGGCGCACGTGTACTGTACGCAACCGGTCCATGGACCGCATCTAGACCGTGCCGGCGCATGATGGCGTCATGGCGCACCCGCCTCTCGCGCGGATGGGGGAAGTTCAACTCTGCTGTTCTGGCTAATATCCTACAGAGGTGTTGGGTGTGGTGTGGTGTGGTCGCCCAGTCCGCTTCTGGTCCTACGTACGGCACAGGAACAACGCCAAAAAGGCTGCTCGTATTATCATACTCTTACCCTGCGAGCCTCTTTGTATGA